GCATAACTTGCTGTATACAACCATAGAGATGTGATGCAGTTTATTCTGCTCTTGTGCTGCAGTTTTTTCTCCATCAGCTGCAAGGTAACTGATTTCAGTGGATATCTGAGCACTGCCCCATTTCCCTGGGCCTACCACAAAATTCTGAAAGGATCCAAGTAACCTTGAACAAAGCATCATAACGAATTCACAGATCTCATTGATGGCAGTACTTTTTTATTAGAAAGAGTAGCAAAGTGCTTTCCATAGAATTCATTCAATACAGAGATTTTAAGAAAYATGATTTTTCCTTTTTATCTGGACAGTTTTGATGTGATGATTTTTCAGTGCAAACAGGGTTCTCCAAGATTCTTCTGCAGAGCTTCTCTGTATGCAGTATTTCAAACGTTTATGCAGTTGGAAGGTATGAAACAGTACTGAGGAGTCCATCCCTTAAAAAATGGAGGTTATGTAAAAGGCTTGCAATGTCACACTGACCAACAGGATTTACATGGTTTGTTGTTTAACACAGATTTAAGGGACATAATTCTTTCATATACTCCTACACACAGATGCATAAAGGTGCTTTCAGTTCTATCAATAATAATAATAATAATAAGAATTAATAATATGTAACAGTATAAATAACATTATCAATTTTTACTATATAGAAAACAGAGAAATCGTCTTTTTTCTTTTTTTTTTTTTTTAATTAACCTGATTTTTTAGCTGGGGATATCTTTTGAACACTTGGTGCTTCCTCTGCCTTGSAATTATTTCTGGATGGAATAAAGAACATGAGCAAGAACTGTTCACCACTTTTCCCCTCACTTTTGGCACACATTTATGATCAGATTTCTTTGGATACATATTCACATAGTTTCACTGCATTCCACTTTCYACTCTTTACGTCTGATTATATCCCAGTTCCCCTTTTTCCTTAGCTTCTCCTGCTTTCCCAGCAAATGAGAGGGAGATAGTACAGTAATAGCACAAAATTAGGACAGACACTTCTGTACAAATTCTTATATACAAGGGAATGTATGAAACCAATCAAGAGAGGGGGATCATCCATGCAACACATTATTATTTTTTTTCATTTTCAGTCAGCCCAATACCACTAGCACTACTTTTTTTTTTTAATTTTAAAAATTAAAAATTTCTATAAAGGACAAGACATAGCAAGTTACCCTTAGAAGAAACCACCTAAGACAYTCACTAAAAAACAATCTCAGTCCCAAAGCTACCTTCCCCCATGTACACAAACATGAACACTGAACAAACAACTGAACTGAATTCACGAGTGCAACAGCCACAGTTCTGCTCACACTGAAAGGTCACATGCCTGTGAACAATGTCCTYACTGAAGCTGCTGGTCACACCCGTGAGTCGCTGTTCCCCATTCCGTATGCACAGAGCAAAATCACCACTTCAAGGAAATACCACACACCATCTGACAGCACAGTGTCTTCACACTAGAGAACTACTGTAACAAGGGTATGACAGACATTTTTTTCCTATGGGATGAAAGCAATTAGGTAAGATCCTCTGTACAGTAACTGGATTGTGGGAATAAAGAAAGGATTTTTTTTTTTTTTACTTTTAATGACAGGATGCTTTTGTAAAACAGCCCTTATACAGGGGAAGAATACAYGTAACCCCATCATTCTACCTATACAAATATGCAAAGATGTAAACAGATGTTCTGCCTCCAGGGGACTTGAAACAAGCCCAAAGCTTACCCCTAGGCACTTTTGAGTAYAGAGCTCCTGCCTCTGAGTTCAGCCTGTACTTGCTATTTGCTTTGGGACTTCAAGCTGTGAATAACAAAACCCCCGTATCCAGAAACACCCTCTGCTGTCCAGCGTTTCCCTGCCACCAGAAAAACTACTCAACCAGGTGCCAGTCAACACAGGCTGCCATCTAACTACGCAGCTGGGCCTCAGTGCCAGTGCTCTGCCATCCTGCTGGTGCAGCAGAGCCTCTAAATCCACACTCAAGGTCATCTGAAGATCTGGAGAGGGGACCTGCCTCCTTTTCCATTAGAMAAGCACAGAGACATGCCTACAGATGGCATTAGAGGAGCTGGGCTTTCATGTTCACTGCTCTAAATAACAATTATTTCCCTAACAGGAAAGTCCATAAGGACTGGGGCCAGAGGTCCTGGAAATAGAGCCTAGCAGGCAACATGATCCAGGCATAAAGTTGCTCTTGAGAACCCAGATGCAGGACTGGGACTATAGAGAAACCTTTCTTAATTTCAAAAGTCTTTAAATAAGACAACATTTTCAACTAATTTATTGCTGTAAAAACATTTAAGAAAAAAGTCACTGCAAAAGGTTAAGTAATTTTCTGTAAATTTCACATCTCCTATTACATTTCTTTAAGCAAATACATAATTTCACTGTACCACAGATGAAGCCAATTTTGCAGTTAAGTTTCTTACTAGAAATAATGCACAGTAAATATTAAATAGGTAGCCTGTTTAGCTGTAGTAGTAAAGCAGAAGTCTTTTTTCTGTTTCTCTTCATGAGAAATGAGCGCATTTAACTTGGAAATATCCAGTACATCCCTGGGGAGCCAAGTGAATTTTGCACCCACTCCTGAATGTACATAACCTATTCTCTAGGTTGTGTGGCCCATGRCATATATGTAGGTATTTTAGTTGCCTAGGATGGAAAGGAACCAGTTAAGACTACTAAATAAAAATACCACCTGCTTTCAACAACATTCCTCAGCTGAGGAAACAGGTCCAGTTTGCTTCCATGCACAAAGCCTGGGCTCGTGTGGACCCACACTGCAGCAAAGTGGGAAGCATTAAGAGATCTGATCCCATATCTGGTTGTTCAGCTGCTYCTCACACCACCCAGAGGAAGCAGACAACATTCAGGCACTGCCGTCTGGAATGGCAGCCCTCCAACACTGCAGCTGGAACTACCTACAAACTCCATGAATTATCCAAATATTTATCTTAAAGAAGGAGGGCTGGGGGAAAGAGCAAGTACAAAAAATAAAGAAAGAAAAACAGCAGCAGGAGCTGAGTACATTTCCAAAAAACAAGGCAGAGCTACATTAGACCACTTGGCCAATGCAGAACTGTAATTTCTCCTAAACAACAGCTGGAGTCTTGTGTGCAGTCACTGATATTAGTGTAAGAGCATTTTGTGGGTATWGCTTGTTTCCTGGGGGAGAGCTCACTATAAACTAAACTAATCAAAGCTGCTTTTGTGTCGGGAAATTGTATTAATCCRACAAATGTTTCCCATTTGCAGGTTCGTTACCAAACCTCCCTTGTGCAGAATTAGCTTTTCAGCAAAACACCACCAAATTGTGCACATTCAGGGAACAAACAGCACATGAGCCCCCCCAACAGCGAAACAGAACACTCACATCAAGTGTCCTCTTAAAACCAGACATGAAATTTTCACTATACAAAGCAAGAACATGGGGACAGGAGAAAATGAAAAGTCCCCAGAGTGCAGAAAACAGTACATTTCACAATATTGTATTACAAATGTCTCCTTTTTTCCCCCCCAAAGATGTAGTAGGGCACTGTTGATTTGGCTTAAAATGCATAATTTTAGTCCCCATTGGAAGTTCAGCAATCTGAAGCATTGCAACTTTTGATATATCACCCATTTACATAAACACRTAAATCCACTGACATTGTGACAGTGTTGAAATACGTAATCCAAATAGTATCTATAAAATTTTACTGTTGTACATAAATAATGACAAGGCACAGAACAGCCACCAGTCCAAGAGCTTGTAGGCCAAGAAACCAGAGCATAACCCAGAAGAATATAATTATTACGGGTTCTACTATCCGTTCTCCAAAGTACATCCTTGTGAAGCCTATCCTGATAAGGCTTTTGTTTAGTTCGCCAAAGAGAGTCCCCATCTTTTTATAGTCATCTATCACAGGTTCCGTGGCGTGGTTCCTTTGCTCCTGCTGGACCTGTGGACAGAAGACAAAAAGAGGAAATACATTGTGAAATTTTATTACTGTGATTCTGAACAAATGTCTCATCTGTTTCTATCTGAATGCAGAAAATKAAGATGCACAYGCAATAAATCTACTCCTTAAATYGAGAGACTGAAAAGCTTGTGACCTKGGTTCAATGGTAAGGATGTCATTTGCCAAACTTGGGACATCTGAAGTGATGCTACAAATACATGACAACCTGTCCCCACTCCAGATGCCACTCTAGAGTGGGTGTAAAGCTCTCCTGCAGGTCATACATCTCACCTGTCTGTGCAACCTGCCTGTGGTTGTCATGGCAACCAAAATGGAACAAGATGTCTCTAATTTCAGGGAAGGGATTTGGCTGAATTATTTCCAGAGTATCTTCAGGACCACAAGAATGATACCAAACTATCAAACATGAACTATGAAGTATTTTGCACTGAAGCCCAGGGAACTGAGGGGCTGCTAATCACTGCTGAAAGAAGGGCACCGGATCAGACCAGCTAAGTGACAAACATCTGTCCTGATGTTGGTGCAGGAAGCAATGCAGGTCAGGCAAAGAAAGACTGACTCAAGGACTGCACAGATGTGAAGTGCAAATATTAAAAAGCAGAGAAAGGGGAAACAAGTTCTGGACTTTCTGTGAAATAAAAATTGCAGAGCAAATGCACAGGGAGGCAGAGGTCCATCTTTAAATGAAGACGCCACAGGTAAATATCACTGCAGAAAACATGAATGTTTCAACATGTAAATTGTAACTAGATTAGAGCTTGAGATCCCATCTCTGTACCCCGCTGTCCAGTGATGGTTTGCACAAAATCTCATTGCCTTATGTTTGGGTATGACAGGGAGAACATGYTTTCGAGATGATGAACATGAGTCTTCTAATGCTTCCATCAGGCAGCAGTGAACACATGCTGCAGGTACTCATCAATATTTCAGTCGACTGATCAATAGGTCCTACAAATTGCCTCCAAGCTCTACGTGCAATTAGTCTTCTCCCAAATGCAAAGCAAACATGTTCCATCTTCAAGGATGAAMGCTATTCTGCATCTCTTGTTACATGGCATGCTCTTGGTAGAGAAACAGAAATTCCCCTTCCTACCAGTRCCAGGCTCTCCACTAAGGAGCAAATAACAAAGTGAATTCCCATTCTTACAGAAAAAMATCCAGCAAAGACCAGAAAAACAATATTGTTTTTTGAGGCCAGACTTTAGGCCACCATGCAGAACCTGCTGGCTGAATGCTCTGGGTAAATCTCTACAGCTGCTGCTGAAAAAAAACCCAATAAAACCCCAACTGGATTTCTTTTTTTAAGTTTACTTAGTCATAAAGAGTCTGGTTTAAGCTTCAGTACTGAATCCCAGGAAGGGACAGGTGCAGGAAGCCTAAATAGTAACATGTTCATAACTAATTCATAACTAATATTCTGTTCACTCTTTCTGAAGTTCTACAGAAGAGCCTGAGAGTGGAGAAGTGCAGTATTGGAGGGTATGCACAGACAGACACCCTCTTGTCTCTTTTCAGCCCACTTTGCAGGCCCAGGTCGTTTTATACCCTTTACTGGATTTCTTTCAGCATTTTGGCATTAACTGCGCTTTATTTAATTCAAAGAAATATTGACTCATCAATAATTCCAATATTTGAAGATCAGCCTCTTCTGGAAAGGCAGATTCATGRATTCTACACTGATTGCACAGGGAACTTCCAGGCACAGAGACTGACAAGTGTATGTTTAATTACAGAACAAGTGTCAAGTCATTTTCCCAAATATTTTTCAATAGCTTACAAAACCTTTCAAAATGATCATGGGAATTCTCAAAACTTCAAAGCCTGTTTCAGTTAATTCAGGCTGAGTACATCTTGCTTCAGGCAACTCAGAAAAAAAAGCAAGGGAAGCTGAGAACAGATGATCAGTCATGAAAGACTGATGGCGTATTTTTCTTTACTATTGCATAGTATTTAACATGCTGGACAAATACATTTCTTCAGAGGTGCAGCTAAAACAGAACTTTTAGGGCAAATGCCTGTAATGTAGCAGTACTCCAAATTGCTAAGGAATATTAAATAGTTTTAAAAAAAGTTTTAATAATGCATCTAGCATTTCTCTAAYTTCCAGGGCAGCAGTAAAATGGCATGAAGTCCCATATATATGCCACAGCTCTCAAAACAACCTCAGAACCAAATTATTTTTTTCCCTGAAAAATACTTTTCTAAACAATTTTAGAAATTGGCCGTCTTCAGCAAACACRCAGCTCTCAGCTGACTTTTTAATTTTTACAGAACTATTTTCATAAGGCARTTTTCATACTAAACCTTGCTGAATYAGCCTGAAGCTAGACAGACACTACCATAACAGACAAAAAGCAGAGAGAGAAATCCATTCTGAGCAGCTGCACCCCACTGCCTCTGCAAAACACAGCTTCCTCATGTAAAAGCAGAAGTTTCTGTTTCAAAGTTGCTCGTTTTGAAAACCAGCAACCCAGGCTTGGCTTCATAACTTTTAAGAATCTATTGTCTATCAAGAGGGAGCAGAGGGAACTTTCTGATCTGCCACAGCCCCAGAGAAAACATGCTCTCCAGGCCTTCCCAGCAGCTCTTCTCATAATTAACGTGTGCTATGCAGGGCCATTCCCAGAACTCATCTGCTACAATTCACGAGGGAATGTAAGAGAGGACCACTTCATTTGCACTCATTTGTTTGCCTTTCCTCGCTCTTTGAAACAGGAGTGATGAAGAAATTCAGAGGGACTGGGAACASGAGTGCAGCCAGGGATCTAGATGGGCATAAATCAATACACACCCAAAATATCTCCTGAAAAGAGAGGAACAGCAATACTGTCTCCCATATGAGAATTCCCCTTCCTCCAGCTGGCTGRAAGATACTCACCAGATATATACATATGGTATTACTCCTGAAGGAGAAAGGAGAATGAGGCTTTTTTAAGAAAATAAATCTAAACCAGAATGTATTAGAAATGCTGGTTCCATTTGTTTCCTAACCTAATGTTTCTTATCWAATTACTGTAATGAATTACTGCTTACTGTAATTTAAATTAACATCAAGATAATTTTATTTTAGACTTACTGGGATTACCTAGTCTCAATCTAATCTCTGTTTGAAACCACTCTCCTTTTCCTATCCCTACATGCCCCTGTAAAAAGTCCCTCTCCAATTCTCTCCTTCTAGGCACTGGGAAGTGCTACAATGCCTCCCCTGGAGCCTTCTCCTCCCCTGAACAGACCCTACTCTTGTCAGGCTGTCTGAACAGGAGAGGTGCACCTTTAGACATCTCTGAGCATCTTCATGGCCCTYCTCTGGACTTCCTCCAGTAGATCCATGTCTTTCCTGTGCTGGGGGCTCCAGAGCWGGATGCAGTACTCCGTACTCAATTTTGTATTTGGTTTCTATTTTTWAATTTTAAATTAATTAAAGTTAAAACCAGGGTTATCATACAGAACAGAAAGGGRAGCATCTGCTCTGCTCCACTGCTCAGCATGCACAAACCATGTCCTTCACAAACCTATTGGTACCCAAAGGTTCCCATCAACCACCCCATTTCCTCTGCTCTTTTCAGATGTTTGGTATTATAAAATTTCCCTCCCTATTCAAAATGGCACAGCTTCATCAGCAAAGCCATTGTCTGCTGTTTACTGGCAGAAAGGCAGAACTTGAAGATCCAAACTCTGAAAAATTTCTTTACTAAAACTTTGGAACTCAGTCTTCCCAGCTGTTAAAGCCAAATGGTTTAGGGGCTTCGATGTTTCAAGGAGAACCAAGGAAACCAAACTCTACAAGGAAGCACCAAGCTCTGTCTGCTTCCAGAACAGCTGATGCTCTCACATGCCTGAAGTGCTCCTGGAAGAAAATCCCCCATGTAATTGAATCTTTTCCTTGACTAGCTTTGAAACAACAAAGAAGGTAAAGTCTTCCTTATCCCAACTAACATCCGGCTGTGGCTTTACCAGTTCTGATTGTCATCAACACAGCACACAAAATTCCCTGTGCTCTGGATACCACTAACTACCCCTGCTTATGGCAAACTTCCAYACATTCACTGAAACTCACTGCTTCCTAAATTCAGGAAAACACATGGTCTGTCACAAGCAGAAGTCACTTCACTCCAGTCTGACAGGACAATCTTTTTCTTGGTTAGCCCCTGCCTGTCAAAGGGTGTTTAGACCCTGCAGTGAAACACGAGATCCCATCAGAACATCCTCCCCAGAAAGAAGCCATCTTTGCAATGAGTCATATRCTATTCCCTAGGAGAGAAGGATAAAGTTAGCACTGAACTTTTCACAATGGCCCAAGACTGATCACTCTCTGCATCTTCAATCTGTAAAGTAGCCAGTGTAAGGTCTTTTCCCCTCAAATTGCTGGGAGCACTCAGTTCCTGCACCTGACCATCTGCATATCACAGCAAGTAAGTATGCCAAGCCCTYGGAGGATGCAGAACACAAATGGGTCCAAGAGGGACACAAAACTACCCTACACACTTGGGAAGTTGTTTCCCATGGCTAATCAAAAATAGCAYGGGAGCACAGATTTAAAATTTATTTTTTTTCTGCTGGGAACACAACAGCTCTAAAGTAACCACAAGTTCGAGTTCTGTAACTTCACCCYGATGTGGCTGTGGGGAGAGCAGGTATAGTTATGGTTTTCCAGGCATCTATTTTCTGAAGCAGCGGCTTGGTTCACAGTTCTCCACACCTGGCCGGAGAATCTTGAGATGGAGTGTTTAGTTTGGGACTTTTTTATGTGTATGGAAATCCCACCCCCCCCCCCCCAAAAAAAAAAAAAAAAAAAACTGACTTGAGTGAAATAATTGGATAAAGTTCAACAGCTCTGTGGGAGGAGGGGATAGATGAACATAAGAMATCTATTCCGCCTGAAGATTCAGGATGTTTTGTTAAAAAAAAAAGAAGAAAAAAAATCCATTCAGATACTCTGAAGGTGCAAGATTCCTCAAAGAAAACCAAATAGCATTCTT